GAGAAAAATATGCAGCCAAGAATACTCTATCCAGCTAGGCTGTCATTGAAAATTGAAGGAGAGATAAAAAGCTTCCAGGACAAACAAAAACTAAAGGAATTTGCAAACACAAAACCAGCCCTACAGGAAATCTTGAAAGGGGTCCTCTAAGCAAAGAGAGGCCCTAAAAGCAACATAGACCAGAAAGGAACACAGACAATATACGGTAACAGTCACCTTACAGGCAATACAATGGGAGGGTTAGAGGGAGAAGCAGGGAGCCCAATGCCGGAATCGATCGCACGACTCCAGGATCATGACCTGAGCCAAAGGCAGTCACTTAACCAACTGAGCCACCCAGGAGCCCTGTTCTGCTATCATTTTTGAGGTAACAAATAGACATACTGCATTTTTTTCATCTGCTACGTGACATTAACCCAGTACAGCACTTCTGATGCCAGTCTGGGAAAAAAGCGACAAGCAACACTGGGATCAATTGGGAATATTTTGAATATGTGTCCGTTAGTGTATGACTGACAGCAAAGTCTGCAGGGCCACTTACACGGTCCTTTCATGGGCCAGGCTCTACTTGAAGCACTTTACATATATGAACTCATGATCCTCACAGCAGCCCTGTGATGATTTATTATTACTCTTATGTTTTTTAGATTATGGATGAAGAAACTAAGGCACAGTGAGGTCAATTTAGTCAAGGTCACACAGCTGATAACACGCAGTCAGGATTCAAATCTAGGTGGTCCACGCTCTGAACTGCTCTACCAACCTGTCTCACATATATTTAACACAGGCCTTTAACATTATACTAGTTTTTTAAAATTATGCTCAATAGACTTTCTGTTGTTAAGTCTAACTCTCTGTTGGTGACATCACAATTCTTTGAGAGTCCCAGAGTCCATGAGGTAGGTAAGAATACTAAAATTTGGTTACCATCTAGGGAATTCACAATTCATGCACTTCGCACTTACGACAACTCCTACTGCGGGCAATGCCTCGGAATCAGAGAATCTTAGAAGATGCCTTAGATATCATTACATATAGTACTTCCACTCTCACTGTCCTTTATCCAACCTAGTTCTAGAATCCATTAATACAGCTACTTACTACCCTTCACCATTCCTCACCACCCATCTGTGCCCTCGCCCCCATCTGTGCCCTCGCCATGTCCTCATTGTCCTACTCAGGCAACTTAAGTTCTGTGATCAGCCATGATCGTCGCTCCCTTGCAAACACTACTGGATCTTCTGCCTCAACCTTACTTCAGCATACGTGCCCGGCTGAGGCATAACTCTGCTTACATCTCTCCATCTACTCTACGCAAGCACATGTAACTGATAACTAACCTCAAGAGGGCATTTAATGGTGTATGATAATCACAGGAAGTTCCTTTAGTCCGTTCACTCTGACACTCCCCTGGATAACTATTTCACACTTTCCTTCTTAAATCTACCATTATTTCTCCCTCAGCCCTAATCTCATTGGATGACCCTGTTTCCTCCACATAGCTAAATCCAATGATCAGTTCTCAGTGGCTCTCTTATCTGACTTATCAGTGGCATCTGACATAGTTGATCATTCTCTTCCCCTGGCTTCTAGGCCTCTCCACCCTCCTGTGTGCATTTTCTCTTCTCTTTCTAGAGTTACTTTCTTGGTGATCTCATTCAGTGTCACTGCTCTGCAAGTTGTATGCTGATGATGTCCCAATATGCATCTTCAGACCAGACACAGACTTTTATATCCAACTTCAAACAGGACATTTGCATTTGGATGTCTAATGAGCATCTCAAGCTTAAATATCCCAACTGGAGCTCCTACTACCCTTTTCCAATCCAAACTGACTCCTCTTACAATCTACCTCATCTCAATAAAGGCAACTCCATTCTTCTGGATACTCAAATTAAAACCCTTGAAGTGATCTTTGACTCTCTGCTCTCAGACCTCAAATCCAGTCTGTCAGCAAATGTTACTGGCTCAGGCCACTTCTTCCCTGTCACACTTTCATCAGGTTCAAACCACTATCTCTCACATAAATTACTGCAATAACCTCTTAATTTGTATCACTATTTATGCCTGCCATCCTACTGCCTATTTTCAATTCAGTAGCCAGAATGAGCCTATTAAAATTCGTTTTATCATGTTCCTCTCCTACTCAAAACCCTATAATGGTTTCTCATCTCAGAATAAAAAGCAAAATTCTTTTTTTAAAAAGCAAAATTCTTCCAACAATGTATAAGATCCTACATAAACGCATCTCCACACACCCCCAATCATTATCTGACTGACCTTATTGCTCACTATTCTATTTCCTTCCATCACTCTGCTCCAACCACATATAATGCATTGTCCACGTTGTATCCAACTATATTGGTTTCCTTGCCTTTGTCTGAGTATTCCAGGCATGCTCCCACCTCAGGACATTTGTACTTAAAATTCCCTCTGGCTGGAATGTTCTCCTCCCAGATATTTTGGGTTTACACCATCGCTTCTTTCAAAGTCTTCTTCTCAGTGAGATCTTTTCTGCCACTCTATCTAAAATCCACTACTTTTTATCCCTCTCCTTCTCTGCTTTGTTTTTCTCTTTAGCACTCTCTAATATACCATATGCTATTCATTCATGTTGGATAATTTTTTTTCTCTCCCACTAGAAGGCAAAGTTCATGAAGACCAGAGCTTTTGTCTGTTTTGTTTAGTGCTTTATTCTTAGCTGTTAGAAAAATGCCAGCACTTACTAGCCTAGCAGGTACTCCATAAATATTTGTTGAATGCATAGCTAGAATAAAACCCATGATTCATTCTCCAGGCAAAAAAGCGACAGAAATTAAAAGGCACCCAATGTGTAAATCAATCTGGAAGGGAGTTACAATCTTGGGACAGAAGTATGTTGGAGGAAAACAAAAGCAACTATATGATGTCTCATACTTTTCTGAACATAATTTGAAATGACTGTGTAAAAGAGTTCGCTTAATAGCCAATGACTTGAAAATACTGTTTATGTAACAACCAATATTTGGGAAAAAATTTTAGCATTATTATATAACATATGTCATCCTACATGGGCATATTAGCATTTTCACATGAATTCTTCAGCAAGATATAAAATAATATACATATTGGGGATACAAATAAATCTTTAACTATCCCCTCACCACTTCCATCCCCAACAATTTTCTGATTTTTCAAGGCAGGAATTCTAGTCCCCAAAAGCAACACAAAAAGCACATTTCCACAACTTTCAATAAAAGTTAACAACTAGAGTTAGTACCTATTCAGAAAAAAACAAGGGCTATTAGTCCTGTCTTTTATTGTTTTTTTCCTTAAAATAGTCTGAATATTTTCTCTTACAAAGAAATATATAATCCAGTGGAAGTGCCCTATGGTATCCACACACAAAAGATAGTATACAAACTGCCTCCCAGTCTCGGATACACTCCCTTTAAATATTAACGTCAAAAAGTTAGTAACATCTGGTTTAACAACTGGCTTACATGACAAACATAAAGCTATGGGGATCACAGAGAGGTTTCCCTCTGAAGGAACTGCAGTGGTCACTGAGATCTGTATCAGGAAGTAAAAACAGAACATTTTTTCCTCCCTCAAAATAAGAATATATAAATTCCCACACTGGGACAGATTCATGGTCTGTAATTCCAGTCTGAAACATTTAAAAATGTTAACAGACTTAATTCTGTGGGAAAACAAAGCTGACATCAATATCAAAAGGCTCTACTGTATGATAATTTCCCTTAACAGCCCCTGAAGAATTAGATGTGAATTCACCTAAACCTTTTAGGCCTTTCTCAGTCTCTATACCCAAGTATACTGGAGTAATTAATTTAACATCAAACATATTATGTATCATAACTATGTGAGATGTTAGGACTATAAGACAGGACTCACACCCTGGAGGAGGACAGAAATGTGGATGTATTAAGACAGTAAATACAATATACACAGCAAATTTAAGTGGTTTGGGAAAATAATATGGTAATGGGTTCTGCAAATTTGGGGATGTACTCAAATTCATTCATTTTTGGGGTATTAATAAAATATTTTCTTAGTTCCTACTTTGTGCCAGGCACTGCTTATGGTGCAAGGGATACAGCAATGAACAAAACAAGCAAAACTTCCAGCCCTCATGAAGTTCATATTCTAGTGTTTTGAATAAACATGTTATAATAAATAGCACTGAAATTAGTTCTGCTGTGATTCTGTAGCTTCCTACTTATACTCTCAATTAGAAGGGTAAGAATTGGGGCGCCTGGGTGGCTCAGTCTTTAAGTGTCTGCCTTTGGCTCAGGTCATGATCTCAGGGTCCTGGGATAGAGCCCCACATCAGGCTCCCTGCTAAGCAGGGAGCCTGCTTCTCCCTACTCCCACCGCCCCCCGGCTCTCATGAATAAATAAATAAAATTTAAAAAAAAAAGGGTAAGAATCTCCTAAGCAAACACCACATTTTTTAGGGGTACTCAAAGGAAGATTCTTCACCACTAAATTTCTGTTGGTTTAGCATTTAATGAAAAATAAGAGTCAGGTTTAGAAATTTTTTTTTTGAGTGATTCAGAATTTAAACTCAACATAGTGCTAACAAATCTTTCAGATAATTTTTACTGGCATATTTCTAACCCTCTGCAGTTTTAGTTGAAGGTTATATCTTAAAACTGTATTTTGTCCACATCCTGTAAAGTACGATTTAGGCTAACAAGATTCTCATATCTTGGAACCTCAAATCTTTTAAGCAGAGGGATCATGGCATGTTATGTTATTACTAATGATAGCTTATTACAGACTTATCAAAACTGCCACTTGGTGCAACCTCACTTCACCTTATAAGGCGGTTGACAGAGATACACTTCATTCCACACACAATCTCTTAAAAATAATTAGAATTGCATCACTTGCTCTACACATGCTCTGGGAAAGGTTTTACTACTTCCAGTTCAGTGTCATCTTCAAGTCAACCCGGAAGATCAGTTAGAATTTTTCATCTGTTTACAAACCTGCAGTTCCACTGCCATTAACAGCTTCCTTGCCCTCATCGTCTTCCTCTTCAGGAAGAGAGCTGTCCATTCTTTCCATCTTGCTGACAGATGTAGTTCGTTTTCTTTGGGATTCGGTGTCAAACTCATTATCGAAGAGGACCTGATCAACTGGATCTGGCTGGAAAGGGCTGGGTTCTGCTGGAGGTTTGGGAGTTCCATAGAAGTTTCCTGAAATGGACAAAATAACGGCAGCTGAAAGGACTGATTTGAATTGAGAGTCAGAACACATGGTCCAATGTATGTCTCTGCCCTGCTGCCATATACCGAGGCTTCTGAATGGCCAAAAGGAAGCCCAAATGCTTCTTCTTGGAAGCAGAGGAGGGAGAAAGAACAGAAAGAACTAATTTCTCAAGTGCCCATGTATATTCTAACATTATCTAACTTTTTAATACTATTTGTACTAAGGATAGATAGGAAGTTGACTTCATGTACACAGATTATTTATTCCTATAGGGCTTGCTTTGCATGGGCTCTAAATTAGGGCCTGATTTGTGAATTTAAATGCATCAATGCTCTTGTGTAAGACTAATTGGTATAGGGGCGCCTGGGTGGCTCAGTTGGTTAAGCGACTGCCTTCGGCTCAGGTCATGATCCTGGAGTCCCTGGATTGAGTCCCGGATTGGGCTCCCTGCTCAGCGAGGAGCCTGCTTCTCCCTCTAACCCTCCCCCCGTCATGTACTCTCTCTCTCTCATTCTCACTCTCTCAAATAAATAAATAAATCTTTAAAAAAAAAGACTAATTGGTATAGGAAGTGGGAGTAAAGGAAGAGAAAACGAACTCAAATAATTTTGTTCTGATGTGTAACATAATGAACTATTTTGGTAAAATGAGAAAATATGTGGGTAAAGGATAAAGCTAAGAACCAGTGTGTGCTGAAATGTAGGCTGTTTATGTAAAAGTAATTTTTAGGTTCTCTGAGCATTCTAATTATATTATTTTATTTGACAATTTATTGAAGAAATAGAGATGTTATTAGCATAATTCAATATTGGCTTACTCTCAGGAAAGCAAGAAATACTTTAATATTCTAAGTCTTGAGGATCAGGAATTTTTGCAGTAAAAATAAATATTCCAGAGTAGAATGAAAACAATTGCATATCTTCTTAATTTGTCATGCAGTTCCCAGTAGGCAGTCAAATACAATGGAAAACCACTCAAAAGGTCTAACTACATTAACAGTTTTTGGCTCCTGCTGGTTTCAACCTTTTATCAGCCACTATGCTAATGCTATCGAAAGATATGGTTAGGGAATAAAATATTCATGATCTTCTTTCATTTATTTATTTTTTTAAAATCACACCTTCTAATGAAATTCCTGGGCTCCTAAGGAGGCAATTAAGATGCTCATCACGTAAAGTAAATTAATGGGGTATACAATGAATTATTTGTCCCAGATGAAAAAAAGTATAGGTTGTTCACCATAATACTGAGGCAAATCCAGAGATCACTTTACCTTTGGTCATGTGTGCCTTGAGGGAAAAGCATTAAGATAAATTCTTTGGACATCTGACTTTGGGTGGTAATTGTCATTAAAATACTCAAGACAAAACAACGAAATCAAACCAAAAAATTTTTCAACTACATCTTGCCTCTCCCCACTCTACTACTCCCTTGCTCCCAAATCCATATCTGAAATGGAGTTACCCCTGTCAGGCAGATGGATGCGAAGGTTTGTATTTAAAACAGACTCAGAGAGTCTCTGCAAACTTTCTAGCCCACAGTAAAACAAGGACCCAGTGAAGAGGCCATCTCACACTTCTCTGGGGCAGAGGGCCCAGAAACGTTCCAAAGAGAGGTCTGGTTGGGGAACAGGATGCTCCAGGATCTCAATTTTTCCTGCATTGTGTCCAACAATCACGCTACCCAGGAATTTGGACATTCCGTGACAAAAATCAAACATCCACCTTCCCTAAGGACGGTAGTTCTAGTAGCAACACTAGATACACATTTTATTGTGTAGTCTTAGTAATTATTATCTCACTCTAGGAAGTTTAACTGTTTTCTAGGGTGAAATCAGACAAATTTAGGATATTTTGATTGCCACCCATGATCATTAAGATTTTAGGACTTCATAACAAATTCTGGCAGTTTCCTTACTTAAACACAATTATTGGACTTAAAGAAAACTAGCGTTGCTTATAAGGAAATTAGGCCTATTTTTCTTGAGTTGTTGGTAAGTATCAAGATTTCAGATACAGCAATGCATAAAAATGACATGGTTTGTGAATTCTGACTATAGTTATTGACAGAAAAGGTTTTCATCTTTTTGAAGCTGTTTTAGAAGGGTTTTTTCCCCCTTTTTTCTTTTCTGAGGGTTTTTTCATTTTTCAAAAAGAACTACCAACTATTAAATATTTTAAATACATACAGAATCAGAGACAATTGTATTAGACACATCCTTATTTGTTTATTTAACTTCTGCCAGATTCCTTTCAGGTGTCCCTTTTGTCCCCCTCTTTAAGGACATATATACACGGTCACATGTTTAATTAAGGTCATAACTTCCTGTCAGTCCTTCCCATGCTCTCCCTGAGTTGCTCTGAAGTTGGTATGTGTCATTTCCCTGCACACTGTGTACAACTAGGGTATGTATATGCATATATAACATATAAATACCATTGTTTTCATAAAAGGTTCATAAAGGTTTTTCTAACATTTCGTGCCTTTTTTAATAAACAGTATGCTCTATGTGTTCTTTTGCAACTTTCCTTTTATACAATTATATTTCTAAGACTTGTTCCTGTTCATTCATGTAGATTCAAGTTTATTGAATTGCTGTTTAATAGTCCGTTTTCATGAACAAGTTAAAATGCATTTTATGAATTTCCCTACTAAAACAGAGTTGTTTCCATTCTTTCACTATTTCAAATAACGCTGTAATGACTGTTCTGGTATGTGACTACATATGCACATAGATAAAGATTTCTCTAGAGCAGGCATCCAGAGAGGAAACTGCTGGGTCAGAGCTAAGTGCATCTTCAAATTTACTAGCTATTGCCAAAATGCTCCCCAAAGGGATTGTATCATTTTATACTCTTGCCAGCAGTCTATGGGAGTTTCCACTTCTCACAATTATCAGACTTTAAAATTTCTGTCAACCTGATGGGTGTGAAATGGTACATTTCAATTTGCATTTCCTTTAAATTTAGCACACAGCAATTATAATATGTAATATGCCACTTTGTCATCGCCCATGTTCTTATACTTAACAGAGGAAAATGAGGGAGAATGTCTTTTTGATCTAAAGACAGAGAAGGACTTCTTAAACAAAACTTCAAAAGCACAAACCCTAAGAAAAACAGTGATAAATCTGACGTATAAAAACTAAGGATTTTTGCTTAATGAAGAAACACATGGACAAGCATAGTAAGTGACAGAACAGGAGAAAATATCTATATCCAATAAGGAATTAATGTCTAAATAAATATCTAAATATCTAAGGAATGTCCACAAACTGGAATGTGGATTGAGATCCCACTTTTAAAAAAATGTACAGTACAAATGAAAAGACAATTTGTGGAAGTCCAAAACACTAACAAGCATATAAAAAGATATTCCAACTCTCTGACACTTCTACAACCCACTTCTACAGGAGATCCCACTTCTACAACCATCAGATTGGCAAAATGATACAGCTGGACGGTGAGGACATGGAATCTTTATTCTAGCTGCTACAGGAACCAACCCCTCAAGCACGGCTGGTGGGAAAGCAGCTGCAGAGCTGCCTCGACTCCTTCATCAGATTTAGTACCTGCAGACCTTATAGCCCGACAGTTCTGCCCCTGGGTATATGTGCCACGGACATCCTCACACAGGTCTAGAAGAAGAGGATGCTGCAGCTCTATCTGTGGTGAGGGGGTGCTGGAAGCAATCTGGAAGTCAATTACTACAAGAGGGGTTAAGTAGAATGCAGTGGATCGCTGTGCAGTGGTTAAAAAAAGCAATGAATTACATGTAAATATAGGACAGAGACATGGCTGAATCTAAAAAACACTGAAATAACTGAGAACACTTAAAAACTGAATGAGATATAGAACACAGTCCAGATGCAAATAATACATGCATGCACAGAAGACACATTTTGCGAGAATGCATATGAACAAAAGCATACAGATTAAACACATCCGAATGGTTGCCTCTAAAAAGGGAGGTGAATGAGGCCAGGCTATTGGCCTCAAAATAAAAAATAAGTAGTGGTCATTTCCTCTCAGAAGTCTTCACTGGCCACCTTATCTAAATAAGACGTTTCTACTCTTTTCTTTAAAGCTCTTATTTTCATTTTCTTCATAACGTCTCCTTTTATAGTGATTTTGCTTGTTGTCTGACTGCTTTTCCTACTCGGATATAGGATTTATTAAGGCAGCACCATTTCAGTATTGTTCACCACAGTATCTCTAGCACGTTGTAGGTACTTAATAAATGGGTTGCTGAATGAACGAATGAATGAATGAGTTGTGGGAGCTAAGCCCAGAAAGCACAGCTGGGGCAAACTGAGCAGGCAAAAAGGAAATCACAGAAGACTCTGAAGAGGAGACACAAGCGGAGCAGCGGTGGAGGAAGACGAGCATGAGAGCAATGGGCAGGTGGGTTAGACATGGGGAAGAAACAGCCGCAGAAGCCCAGACATGAGCTTGTCCAGAGCCTACGAAGTGGTGTGAGAGTGAAAAGAAACGCATCGTGAAAGCTGTTACAGAGGAAGAAATGACGAGATTTGGTGATGGAAACTCTAAGGAAGAGGAGGGAGTAAATGATGACTCCACCATTTTGAGCCCAGGGTACAGCTAAAGAGAGAAATTACGAAGAATTATTCTTTTGGATAGAACATCAATGCATACTTGGATATGTTGAATTCAAGGTTAGTGTTCATCGAACACCATCTCTAGGCACTGAAGATACTACTAAGACATGATGCGGCTTTCATCAAGCTTGTGAAAAAGGCAACTATAACAGCATGAGAAAGCAATGATGGAGAAGTAGAGCGTGGATGGGAGTGGACAAGCTTGCCAGTAAAGAGTGTCAGGTAAGAGAGAACAAAAGATGGAACACAGCATCATTTAAAAATTGAAACTGATCTTAAAAGTCTCTACTTCTAGAAACAAGTGGGTAGAAAAGAGATATGAAAAGAAAACCAATTATTCCATTTTTGTTGTTTTCCCCCCAATCTATATTCTCTTTTCTCCAAGAGAGCCAAGCTATAGATTTTTTTAAGTGCACAGTATTTGGATTCCTAACCACAAACAGAAAGCAAACAACAAACACTTGTTGAGTTCATATGATGAATATGAATTACCACAAAATATGCAAACTGGTTGTTTTGAAGGATTTCAGTATATTCTTCACAATCAGCTTTATAATATGATGGAACGCTTCTGCTTAATTACTTAATCCCATTTTAGGTAGTAAATTACAAACAGGCTAACCAAAAGAAAACTTCCCCAAAGACCAACAGAAGACAATTTAAAAATATATATATTTTACTGATCAATTTCCCTTTGAAGTAATTCCAGCCATTCAGATAGTTGTCAGTATTGGGGGACATACCGTCATACGTTCCACTTTCTAATAATGCTCCACTCTCTTCCAGTGCTTTGAACTGTTCAACAGAAATGAAGTTATAGTCCACCCCTGGTACTTCCCCATCCCTGGGGGCCCTTGTAGTGCCTAAGGAAAAAAAAAAAACAAGAAAAAAAAATAGGTTGCTTTTAAACTTACAAAATATTGAGAATAATAGAAAATACAGTCTATAGAGAACACATGGGAGAAACACACTACTGAATATATGTACCGTCTAGAAAGACAACCAGAAAATTTTAGGCAACATTTTTAGGTGAAAATAGGACAATAATGTAGAATGACTAAATATACTTTAATATAATCTACATATAGCTACGAAATACAAACGACAAAGACTAAAAAGAGTTCTAGTGTCAAATTAACATCTGAAGGAAAGATAAATCTACCAATGATAAGACTTCATATTTTGAGGGACATGGTTATTCTTTTTTTTTTTTAATTGAAGTATAGTTGACACACAATATTAGTTTCAGTGTATACAGGTTTCATTTTTATCAAGCTACCTTATGTATTTTTCTTCCCTGGTATAAGTGAAGAGAGAAACAATTTTTAAAAGTTCTTTTAATGCACTTCAGTTTTAAAATTTGGTCAAATATTAATTATGAAATTATTTTAGTTTAATGAATAAAGGACTTAAAGCTTAAGATAGGTATTCATATATTGCTTCTCAGCCATTATTCTCTTTAAGTAATTTTAAAAATTTAAGAAGTACAGTGTTTAATGAAATACACTATAGCAACAGAATAGTAAATAGTAAATAGTAAATAGTAAATAAAGCCTCACCCCTTTAACATTCTAGGCTTTAACCATAATAGTTTTTTTTTTTAGTTCTTTTACACTTGCTTACACCTTACACTTGCTTACCTCCACAAGGAAAACATAACTTTTTTTGTTAAAATATTTTTGTCATTGTCAAATTTTTGTTTTCTCATGCGTTGGCTAAACTACATTGTTAGATTCCCCAAATCAACAGCTTTAACTCCATATTAACTAAAAATTAACACTGGAAAATAAATTTAATGATTAAATTTAACACTTATAATTATCTGTGATAGATAGAAAAACGTGGCCCCAATATTTTGTACCTCCTCTCATTAAGAGATGGGGCGGCCTACTGCTTCACCTCTGAAATCTGGACTGGATTTACGATTTGCTTTGAAAAGTTTAATGTGGAGGATGTGATGTTGTACAAGTTCAGGAGTCTAGACTTCCATCTTTGCTTTCTTGGAATGGTTCCACCATCAAGTATGGAAGTCCAGGTTACACTACGATGAGAGAGCCCCAGCCAACAAACAGCACCAAGGTTCCAGACATGTGAGTGAGGCCATCTTAGACGCTCCAACCCCAGTGGAGGTGCCAACGACTGCAGCCACATAAGTGGTCCCGGTTGAGCTCATCTAACTCATGGAATCATGAGAAATAATACATGATAGTTATTTTTCTAGGTTGTTCTAGGGTGATTTGTTATGCAGCAAAGGCTAATTGAAATATTATCCAAATAAACTCTACTATAAAATATACTGATTATAGGGCACCTGGGTGGCTCAGTTGGTTAAGCGACTGCCTTCGGCTCAGGTCATGATCCTGGAGTCCCTGGTTTGAGTCCCGCATTGGGATCCCTGCTCAGCAGGGAGTTTGCTTTGTCCTCTGACCCTATCCCCTCTCATGTGTTCTCTCTCTCTCAAATAAATAAATAAAATATTTAAAATATATATATACTGATTATATAAAACCTGAAAAACCCGATTTAAGAGCAAACCATATTATAGATAATACTATAAAAAGAGCACTGATGCAAGGGGCAGGAGCTACTCTGTGTTTTAGTCTGGAATTGTTAGTAATGATATGATTTTAAGCAAGTACTTAATCCCTCTGTGCTTCATTCTCTTTCTGCAAAGTGATGTTAAGCAAGGTGATGTTCATGATGCTTTCCATGAGTAGATATGAAATGCCATGTGTGACACATATATATATTTCCAAGGCTTAAAAAGAAGATTTAATGTTACTTCTCTACAAATATAGGTATTACAAATTTTCACATCCTCTCTCCAAAAATGTGTAATCCCAATACACATAAAAAGTTCTCTCCTTTCACCTACCCTACCCTATTGCCTTCAGCATTCCAGAAAATTTATATTGGTATTCTCCTGATACTCTATATATTTAATGTAAAGCTTTCTATATCACCTCTAGTCCCTACTACATTTCTCCTTTTTACATAAAAATTCCTCCAAGTTCTGTTTACTCACAGTCTCCCAAATCCTCTCTTCTGTCTCTTGAGCCCATTCCAATTAGATCACTGCCCCAACCACTCCACTGAGACAATCTGCTGTGTTCATCAGGAGTCTCCACTTTGCTTAACCCAATGCTCAAGTCTCAGTCCTAGTATTACCTGACCTATCAAGATTTGATATAACTGATCATTCCCCTCTTTTGTTTTATTCTGAAATATACAGACAGGTACATAAGACATATATGTAAAGTTTGACAAGTAATAATAAAGCAAACCCACTCAAGTGAAGAAACAGTATCACCAGGAGATCAAAAGCCCCCTTGTACACCTCCAATCATAAATCTCCTTCCCCCACCCCCAAAAGTACCCACCATCTTGACATTTGTGATGATTTCCTTTCTTCTTTAATTTTTTTTTTTACCAACTACATAATGCATTCCTAAGCAACAAAGCTTAGTTTTGCCTCTTTTGTAATTTCATATAAATGGAATCATGCCATATGCATCCTTTTATGTCCACATTAACACTTGGAGTCAGGTTTTTAAACTTCTGCCAACATGTGAAGGCATCTCACTGTGTATTTAATGTGCAACTGATTTATGAGATCACACATTCTTTTTCAAATATTTACTAGCCGTAGAGATTTCTTCTGTTGTGAAGTGACTATTCAAGGCTTTTGCCACTTCTCTGTTGGTTTGCCTATCTTCTAAAACTTGACTTGTAGTTCTTTACTACAGTACTTCATCAAATCTAAGTAATCAACAGCTTCCAAAATGCACCACTATTTTATCACTAAAAAAGAAAACTGGCAATTAAAATCAAAAGATTACATCTATCGTAAGATACAATTGTAGAGAGGCTAACATGTGAAATAACTGTGTCTTACTATTGATAAAGCACTGCAGTCCTTTGTCAGATATACGTGTTGCAAAGGGGGTTTCTGCAAAAATGTGAAATAAGGGGGAGCCTGGGTGGCACAGTCGGTTGGGCATCTGACTACTGGTTTTGACTTGGGTCATGGTCTCCAGCCCCACAGCGGGCTCTGTGCTCAGCATAGTCTGCTTAAGATTCTCTCTCCCTTTCCAACTCTGCCCCTCCCACTCATGCTTTCTCTCTAAAACGAATAAATAAATCTTTTTTTAAAAAAATGCTTTCTAGAAACAGTACTTTCTGCAAAATCGTGTTCCCCAAATAGTGGAGATTACTGAGAAAACAGGGTCAGGGTTGATTTCTCAAAACCTATTGCAACTTTGTAACCAGAGCCTAGCAAAATCAGTAACAACCCTAATTAAAAACACTAAGACAGCTTAAAAGATATTTTAAATTCCTGATAAAAATACCAGTATAAATAAAATACTATGTCTTTAAATAACAATTAAAAAAAAAAGAAAAGATAGCTTGACAGGGGTATAAGGAGGGTTGGAGCTACTGAATAATGAAGATAAGGCAAAAGATGTAATAAATGATTTTTAAGATAAAGTACATGTCCAAATTGAGAAAAGAGGCCAAATCGAGGTGAATGGGCATTATGCACAGTGCATGCAACATTCAACTATGTTTGTATATTCTGTTTACTTGCTGCTACTTGATGACACAAAACATTAGCTTACTGGGGAAAATGGAGTAAGAACCAATATTACCTCCATTAAATTGACATCATTATCCTACCTACTTACCAATCATATATGAACTTACTTGTGTTACAGAAACAAACATTGTAGCAAAATAGACAGTATCTTCTCCCACTCTGATTTTTTTCATCTTTTTTAATGGTCTTTTAATGATAGTAGTTTTTCATTTTATTGTAGTCAAATTTATCAATCCTTTCCTTTATAGCTAATGCTTCTGTGTCTTGTTGAAGAAATCCTTCCTAAGGCCATGGAGACATTCTATAGACTTTGTAAAAGCATTATAACTTTGCCTTTCACACCTAGTACTTTAATGCACTAAAATAGATCTTATTCGGCCTGATGGGAGGTAGTAGTCCAACTTTTTTTTTTTCCAGATGGCTATTCAACACACTTATTGAAAAGTCAATTATTTTCCCCTCTGATCAGGCAAAGTCACTTCTTTCATAGAAATCTCATATAGAAATGCTTAGATAAAACTGGATGTGTTATTGGGCTATTACATCCTATTTACCCACTGACCAGTCCTGCACCATTATCATGGTGCTATAATTAATACATTTCTATGATAAATCTTGGTATAGAATAGAAAAAGTCCACCTGTTTTGTTTTCTCTATTTACAGCCCTTCCATATAAAACCTGGAATCAGAGAAATAGGCTAAGAATGCTGGAATTTTTATGGGATTAGAATGAATCTATTAATCAATTTAAGGAGAACTCCTGTCTTCACCATATTGAATCTTTAATCCAGGAACAAGAAATTGGTCAGTACATTCAGATCTTCTTTATGGCCCCTTAATTTTATCTTACAGAAGTCTTTACACTTCTTTAGAGATTAATTTCTAGGTATTTCAAATGCCTATATGCTATTATAAATATCTTTTTGTAAACTTTCATTTTCTAATTATTAATGATATAAAAGAAAACAATTGTGGGAATCTACTTGGTCACTTTATTTGAATATAACTGACCCACAATCAATTCACTAAACTCACAATTCTGTGAGTCTTGGGACTCATCACTCTTAAAGGTTTTCTCAGGACCCTGTGGAAGCTGCTGATCTGCTGTCACTGTAGTTCTGTGATTAACAGAATCTCATATACATAGAATCATACACTGATTCCAGTAGTGGTTTGTACCTGGCCTCTTTCATTTGGCACGATGCTTTTGAGATCTATCCATGTTGTGGTTCAATATCCTTTTATTGCCAAGTGGTATTCTATTG